TATAAGCGTAAGGATATAAATTGAATATAAGAGCCTATTTGAATAAAGATCTAATGCTTTATACTTATATAGGTAGGTAGTACATTCCTAATAGGATAAGTAGTCTACTCCTAGTAGGATAAATCAGTTGGACATCTTTATCTGATTAAAGAGCTATGAAGTGCTTGTGAATCTCTACATATCTAAAAGTTGTAATGTGATTGAATTTGTGAAATAGGATGTTTGGGTAAGCATACAACTCTAGTTGTAGAGTTCTATTTTATTAGGTGAGCTGATAGAAAGAGAGGAAAAATGATAGTGAGGGACACAAGATATTTAAGAGCTTCAAGCCCAAGCTCAAGCTTACTCATACGAGCCCGAGGATGTTCTAGTCCTGGGAGAGAGCTCGAGGTTATCATAACCTCAAACCCGACCACATAAACTCGAGGATGTTATGGCCCTAGGAGAGTGTTCGAGGTTATCGTGACCTCGAGCATGAGGTCGTGCCGTCGTGGGTGGTTGGGTCATACAAAAATTATACACATCATAGCCCCCCGTATATCCACGTCAGCAGCTCGTGCGCAATGTGAAAGTTTCTGGAATGAGATGCTCAAGTACGTCGAGTTCAAAAATAAGCATGTTCATGACAAAGAATACGCATGCTCAAACCAAGAAATATTCATGCTCATGACTTGAAGTAAGTTCATGCCAAGAGGTGGAGATGCTCATACTTAGAAATAAGCATGCTCAAACTAAGAAATATGCATACTCTACATGTAGGCTTGCTCATGCCTAGAAATAGGCATGATCAAACCAAAAATGTGGCATGCTCATGCCAAGGAATAGACATACTCATGCCAAGAGATAGATGTGATCGTGCCAAGGATTAGACATGTTCATGCCACGGAATTAGGACGATCAAGCCAAGTATTAGACATGCTCATGCCTAGAAATATGAATGTTCAAGCCAAGGATTAGGCATGCCCATGCTAAAGAATAGGCATGCTCAAGCCAAGGATTAGACATGCTCGTGCTACGAAATTGACATGCTCATGCCAAGTATTAGGCATGTTCATGGCAAGAGGTGGACGTATTCGTGCCTAGAAATGGGTATTCTCATACCTAGAGATAGGCTTACTCAAGTCAAGGATTGGGCATGCTCATGACAAAGATTAGACATGTCCATGCCAAAAGGTAGGCATGCTCATACCAAGAATTATGCGTGCTCATGCCAACAGGTGGGGCATGCTCAAGCCAAGGGCATGCTCAAGCCAAGAGATTAGCATGATCATGCCAAGGAGTAAGCATATTCATGACTAAAAATAGGCATGCTCATTCCAATAAATAAGCATGATCGTGTCATAGAATAGGCATAATCATGCGGATAGGCCACCGAGCACATAGATCTAGGATAGTATGTATTGACCATATTAAAAATTTAAAAGGAAAAGGGTTGCACCCGACCTTGTTTTATAGCCTTCAAGGTCATAAGGTTGAGGTATTTGTACGAGAGAAAGCTTGATGTGCTTGCTTGGGACAAGACTTAATATGCTTATTCGGGGCAATGCTTGATGTGCTTGCGTGGGACAAGCCTTGAGTTGCTTGCTTCGGGCAAGGCTTTATGTCCTTGCTCGGTACAAGGTTTTATGTGTTTGCACATGGAAATGCTTAGAGCTTGATGTGCTTGCGCGGGATAAGGTTTGAATTTCTTGCTCGGGGTAAAGCTTGAATTGCTTACTCGGGGTAAGGCTTAATTTTCTTACTTGGGGCAAGACTTGAGATGCTTGCTCGGAGCAGGCAAAGCTTTACGTGCTTGCGCGGGGCAAAAGCTTCAGATTCTTGCTTAAGATAAGGCTTGAGATGCTTGATCAGAACAAGGCTTTATGTGCTTACGAGGGGCAAGACTTTAGAAGCATTACAAATGAAAAAATTGACTTTATTGGGATAAGATCTCGACGGCTACTTAATTGAATATAACTTGACCTAACTAGAAATAAAATATGAGCACGAGGCTCGACCAATCAAATAATAAAAATAAGTCAAGTATGAAAGTCGAGGAAAAAACATGTAAGACCATATACTTTAGATGTATGGCATTGTCCAACTAGACAATGACGTTGATCGTGTCTGCTGTTGGTCAATTACTGCCCCGACTTCTAAGGTATTTCCGTTGTTACGATCATTCATCGGACGCTTGTCTTGATCAACATAAGCTCCTAGGAAATCCCTCATGATCAGAGATTCAATCTCACTCTGCAAGGCTTTGCATCTCTTTGTGGTATGCCTTTGTTCACGATGAAAGTCACAGTACTTGCTCTTGTATCTGGTGTTAGGAGGGGACCTCATCCTTGAGGGCCATTTAACTTCCTTGAGGTCCTTGATCTCCATCAAAATGTTGGACCTGGAGGTGTTCATATATGCGGATGACGTTGGTAGTATGTCCTACTTTTGCTTACCTTGAGCAAGGTCCTGTCGTAAATTTAACTCATGTTGTCTCTTATGCTAAGGCTTCTTAGTAGTCGGGCCAGGCTTCCTTGGGTACATTGTTTCCTCCATGTTTATGTATTTTTCTTCTCGGGTAAGAAGCTTGGTCACTGAATTTGATGAAATTTTTGACAATGACATCTTAAATGCTTCACATCTTATTGCATATGTAAGGGTAGAGACGGCTGATATAATATGTAAGTCGGGTATCTATAGCGTTTCTACATTAAATCATGTCATTAAATCACGTAGGGGTTCATTTTTCCCTTGGCAAAGCTGCATGAAAGTTGTGGTGTTCTTTCTGATGTGTTTACTAATTGTAAAGAAAACAGAGAACTTGTTAGCCAAATCTGAGAATGAGTAATGAAATTGGGCTCTAGTGTAGACAACCAATCCTTAGCAGTGCTAGTTAGGGTTTGAGGAAAGGTTTTGCACATCACTGGGTTTGGTGTGATATGTAAGTTCATGACATTCGTATATACATTGAGGTGATTGATGGGGTCCCATTGTATTTCTTTATGCTGAAGGGGTATTCGAATCTGTCCGATAATGCGTAGGACAATATATCTTGGGTGAATAGAGTATTGGGAGTGAACCTTACTGTTCCCTGGGTATTTTGAAGTAGTCCAGCTGCAATCCCGTCCTTTATAACCCTGGTAAGTTCACTTAAGTCCATAGTAACCGACCTTGAGGCCAAATCCATATGAAGTATGCTCGAGGTTCCGATTCCACCAATATCGGGGGCAGGGCGAGAAACCCGAACTCGAGCATCAGCCATAAAATTCTCTAGTGGTGTCGGTGCTAGTTCCTAATGTGAATTCCTTTGACATAGTAATTGAGTTAGTTTAACAACTTGTTGGCAGAGCTCTTCTAATGCTCCTACAGCAATGACTGTTGGTTGGGGCATTCGTATATCTGATGATTCCTCTTGAGAAATTGGGTGATCCACAATAGGAGATGAGTTTGGAGCAAATGAGCTTGCTGGAAGAAAACTTGAACGTGTATTAACCATGACTTTTGGTAGCGTTTCCCACATCGGCGCCAATAATGCTACAAAAAATCTACACCTGTAAATCCCTGAACTTGACGACAATGAATAAAGACGAACATGATCTCCAAGACTTGGAACAAATGTGTCAATGATTTGTATTTAGGATATTCGAGTTAGACGATCGAGAATGAGCACGAACAGAATCTCAGGGACCTAAAACAAAGGCAATGAGGTGTAACCTCATTGCTCCTCCAATGCTTAAGTTAGAGAGATGGGAAAATATAAGCGTAAAGCTATAAATTGAACGTAAAAAACCTGAATAATGATCTAATACTTTATATCTATATAGGTAGGTAGTACATTTCTAGTAGGATTAAGTAGCACACTCTTAATAGAATAAATCAATTGAGCATCTTTATCTGATTAAAGAGTTGTGAAGTGCTTGTAAGTCTTTCCATACCTAGGAGTTGTAATTTGATTTGAGTTGTGAAATAGGGTGTTTGGATAA